ATACACACACATATATTATATATATACATATATAATATATACACCTATATATATTATATAATACATACATATATATTTTTTTTTCTTTTTTTTTTTTTGGTACCGGGTATTGAACTCATATCCTTGCACTTGCGAGGCAGGCAACGGAACCACTGAGCTACATCCCCAGCCCTGTATGTATATATTTTTAAAATTGATTTTAATTCTTAAACATCAAGAGACTATAACATAATCAGAAAATAGTAAATAATTCAATTTAAAAAATATGCAAAGGAGGCCAGGTATTTAGCTCACTGGTGCCACCGCCTGCCTCACAAGCACTAGGTCCCAAGTTCAATCCCCAGTACCACCACCAAAAAAAAACCAAAATTAAAGTAGATATTTCTCCAAAGATGAAAAATAAGCAAATGAAAAGACATTCATGCCAGGTGCGGTGGCTCATGCCTGTAATCCCAGAACTCAGAAGTCTAAGGCCGGAGGATCACTGAGAGTTCAAGATCAGCCTAGGCTACACAGTGAATTCAAGGCCAGTCTGAACCACATAGTGAGACCCTGTCTCAAAAAGAAAATTACTAATCACCAGAAAAATGCAAATCAAAACCGCACTATATTATTCATGCCTATTAGAATAGCAACTACATATCAAAAACATTCCAAAGAATAACAACAAACATAAGTGCCAGTGAGAATGTAAAGTTGTAATTCTTGTTGCACTATTAGTGGGGTTGTGAAAAGGTCATGGAAAATTGTATAGTGGTTCCTCAAAAAGTTAAAAAAGTGAACTGTCATATAATCCAGCATCCTACTTCTCATTATATTTCCAGAATACCTGAGAACAGGGTCCTGAAGATCCTGTTCACAGAAGCACTATAAACAGCTAAGCAATGCAAGCAAACCAAACCACACTTCAAGGTTTCACTGGAAATGAAACAGATCAAATAAACCATCTAGGTCTTTGTCTTATGACAAAAACTGCCAAGTTTCTTATGTTTTCTCCTCCTCATACCAGACATATTCTGCTGTAAACTGCTAAACAGTTGAGACAAAAGCTGTTAAATAGAAATGGAATCACTGCTGTGCAGGACAAAGAATCAGAAGTGTAAGTTTTTGAGAAGTGGACATCTGCAGAAGCCATAGATACATAAAAACATTCAACTATCACAACAATGTTCTTGTTTTTGAGACGGGGTCTTGCTATGTAGTTCAGGCTGGCCTTGAGCTCACTATGTAGCCCGGGCTGGCCTCAAACTCATGTCAATCTTTCTGCCTCAGCCTCCTGAGTGCCAGGATTACAGGTGTGTGCCACCATGGCCAGCCACAACAATGTCCTTAACAGCAAAAATAAATAAATAAAAATAAATAAATGCTCATCAGTAAGGGATCTATTGCATAAATCCATATATATCCACATGAGATATTATATGACCATTAAATTGAAAGAAGCGTTAAAATTTGGTATAATATTTACTTTTTTTTTTTTGGAGATGTAGTCTTGCTAAATCACTAAGTTGCCCAGGCTGGGATCAACTGTGTGATCCTCTTGCCTCAGGCCCAGTGCTGGGATTACAACCCTAAGGTCTGGCTTTAGCTGAATTTTTAATCATGCTTATGTGGTTTCGATAAATGAGTCCTTTAATCATTCAGTAGTGTTATAGGGGAAAAAAAGCAGAGCCAGGTGTGGTGATACATGCTTGTAGTCACGGCACTCGGGAGTCTGAGGGAAGAAGCTCACTAACAGTTTAAGGGCAGCCTCAGCTACACAGTGAGTTCAAGCCAGCCTAAACTACATAGTGAGACCGTTTCAAAAAACAAAAAAATAAAAGCAAATAGAGGAATCATTTTTATTGACATGGAATAGCACTATGGCATAATCCTATTTTTATCACACACACACAAAAGTTAAAGTGAGTGCTTTGCATTTTTCATCTTTATAATGCTGTATTTAAAAAGTTTTTTATTTGCATTAGTACATGTTTGCAGTACACAATGACTACATTTCTTGTGAGTAGTTGGTACGTGCACATAACACATCTTAATTTTTTTTCAACCCTTTCCCCACCCCCATCTCTATCTTTTGGTCCCCTTCTCATTTACAAAAGATCTATTTTTCTATTGTCTATCCATAATGCTATATTTTCCAAATTTGTCTTAGGTATGGCGATGCACTCCTATAATCCCATGACTTTTGGAGGCTGAGGCATGAGGATTACAAATTCAAGCCCAGCCTGGGAAAGTCAGCAAGGCCTTGTCTCAAACTTAAAAAAAAAAAAGAAACTAGGGATATAGCTCAGTGTAAAGGCCTGGATTCAATCCCTAGTACAAAAAAATAGAGAAAAGACAACAGTGACATTTAGTCATGCAAAACAGACTAAGGCAAACTGCTTCACCCTTCTGAGCCTCAGTTTCCATATTTATAAATTAGACTAATATATCATTCTGCAAAATTAGGGTAAATATTAGATGAAGAGTATGCATGTCAGGTACCCATGTCAAGGGAGATAAAACACGCAAAGACTACAAGGTGACAAATGGAATCACACAAGAAATGCATAGCTATCAAGGGCCCTGGAAGAGGGGGTCATTCATCAAGCAGTCAGGAAAGGAGGACAGGCAGGATATATGTAGCCTCTGGCCCAGCTGTGAAAGCCGAGTTGGAGTAGCTATGTAAAGGTGAAACA